CTAGCAATTTAGTGACAATTAACTAACAATTTAATAGGAATTTAGTTACAATTTAGTAACAATTTACTAGAAATTTAATAATAATTTGCTAACAATTTAGTGACTTTACTAAAAATTTAATAGCAATTTACTAGCAATTTAGTGACAATTAATTAGCAATTTAATAGGAATTTAGTTACAATTTAGTAACAATTTACTAGAAATTTAATAACAATTTGCTAACAACATAGTGACTTTACTAACAATTTAATAGCAATTTACTAATAATTTACTAACAATTTACTGACAATTTAATAGCAATTTATTAAATGAAAAACGATTTGTTATTAAGCTGCTATGATCTAATCCTCGATCCATCGAATTATTTCGATCAATATGACGTAACAATATGATGTAACTGTTACAATTAGGCTACTATTTATTCATCAGCCTACTAACACTTCGGCTGCCGCGCCATCTACACTCTTCGACTGTCGCGCCACCTACACACAGCTGAATAAATTACTCAAATTAAAAAACGAATTTCCACGCCAATGTATTACAATCTCCCAATTTAAAAAAAAAACGTAAGAATGTCGAGAAAGTAATCAAAATCGTACAACCTTACGATTTTAATTTAATTAATTATAATACTTTAATTCTGCGTGTCTCTAAAAAAAAATACACAAAGTCCCTTCTCTCTCGCTCGCAGCCTCTCGTTTCACAGCACATCGCTATTGGCTCACCGTCTCGAGCATAATTTGCCAGAGATGATCGGCACCACCGCGCAGCGGGAGATCATTATTCTTCGTTTAACTACAATGTAAACGACGTTCTCTTACTCCGAGCGAATTGTTAACGACGATCCGATCCACGACGATCGCGTCGTTGCGAAATCGACCGTGAGACGACGACGGGTCGAACAAACACGAACGTTGACGATCCGTGCGCGCGTCGGGGATCCCAGTTGTGTATTAAATTACATAAAATTATCGGGAAACGTAAATTATAGGAATGATCGGTCGGTTTCCAGAGGTTACGGTGAAACGTTGAATATTATGCAAAATCGTCGCCCACGATGCGCCGGCGTACTAACACGGTCGCCTCACCTAGTTTCGGTTACATAATCGCGAAGCGAATTCGTCGGCGATACGGAAAACGTCGCGGCCTGGTCGACGTATCGGCCTGTAAATCGTGGAATCGTTCGCCGGCGCGCCAGTCCTCCGGAGATCATTCGCTAGATTTATCTGCGAATTCCGCCGGGAGGATCGGACTTTCACCGAACGTGTCTGCACGATCGTCGAGGGATCGATGGAAGAAAGGAGAGAAAAAAAGGAGAGCCAAGAAAATCGTACGGGGACCGTTCGTTCGGTGGCTCGTTAACGACGGCCACGTGAAATGTCACCGGCTAAATTCGTACGAAACGCGCGCGCGCGCGCAGAAAAAGGCTCGCCGCTCCGATGACCGGGTTGCTTCACTTGGGACGCATGCCTCTGTTTCGTTCGCTTTCGTGGAGAACGCGTCGCGCGCGGATTGTGCGCCGTAAAATTTTCAGCCGAGACGTCAGACGAGACGACAGAATAATGCTCTAAGGAATGTTTCGGTTAACAGATGGTCGTTGTTAGTTCGCAGGAATTTGAGCGGAATTTTTTAAAATTTTTATCCGCCAGACCTAAGTCGGACCTAACGTAGACCTAACGCAGACCTAACATGGACCTAACTCGTACCTAACGCACAGATTTAACGCAATTCAGAATTGGACGTAAGATGTACTTGTGCTGTTAGAAGCAACGTGAACATCGTTCTCGAATGTTATACACTTGCGAATTGTTGACAGTGGGCTTAACGAAGACCTAACTGAGACTTAAGCCAGACCTAACCTAGGTCAAGACTATAATTACAACATTCAAGGTATTTAAAACACCGTTCGCGATTATTATAAATTTGCGAAGGTAAAAATAGACCTAACCCAGGACTAACGCAGACGTAACACAGACTTAACTCGTACTTAACACAGACTTAACGCAGTCCAGAATTGAACCTAACATGTATGTGTGCTTTTAAAAGCAACGTGAACGTCGTTCTCGATTATTATAAATTTGCGAAGGTAAAAAGTAGATCTAACTCAGACCTAACATAGACCTAACACAGACCTAACTCGTATCTAACCCAGACTTAACGCAGACCAGAATTTGACCTAACATGTACTTGTGCTGTTAAAAGCAACGTGAGCATCAATCTATAATAATATATATAGACCTAACCAAGACCTAACTGAGACTTAAGTCAGACCTAACATAGTTTAAGACTACATTTATAACTTTCAAGATATTTAAGTCACCACTCTCGATTATTATAAACTTGCGGAGGAAAAAGGTAGACCTAACTCAGACTTAACATAGATCTAACTAAGACTATTCAACCAATATAACCTAACTGAGAGAGAGACTTAAGCCAGACCTAACCTAAGCCAAGGCTATGTTTACAACATTCAAGGTATTTGAAACCTCGTTCCCGATTATTATAAAATTGCGAATTTTGAAAAATATACCTAACTCAGACCCAACCTAAACATAAGCCAGACCTAACCTAGCCTAAAGCCATATTTACAATATTCAAGCTATTTGAATCACCGTTCTCGATTTAACATAAAAATGTGAGTGCTATAAGTTAAATTATCCCAAGCCTAATTGAAACCTAACTCACATCTATCCTAGACCTGATCCAGACTTAACCCAGGCCTAATCCAGATCTAACGCATAACCTAACAAATAACTTCCTTTACCTCTCCACCAAAATAAAATCACTAAAAAAGAGGACTTCTCAAATCCACCTCGACACCCGCGATAAATAAATTAACGCGCTCAGCAAAATTACCATAATTTTTCAGACACGACATAATTCATCGGTCACAGTCGATGGACCCAGAGGACCAGCAGCAGTTCGTAAACAAGGTGTGGACGCCAATCGAGACGATCGCCAAGCACTTGGCGGTGGCGCGATCGAAACACGTGGAGAACGAGAGTCCGTCGGGGTTCGTCGCGTCGCGTTACCAGGAAACCGTTCTCGACGGCAAAGAGGAGACGAAGAATGCGAGCACCGACGATTCCGAGAAACCGGTAACTGTCCCGGCAAACCATAAATCGAGCGTCGAAGAGGACTACGCGAGCACTGAGAAGTATGAATACGAAGCGATGAAGATCGTCGGCACCACTGTCGAAAATGAAGTCGAGGATGTTACCACTGTCATACCGGAGACGACGACCGTGAAGGAGGTTAAGAGCGAGGACGTTACCAAGGACCTAGACACCGTCGAGGGATTCAAACGGTTCGCTGAGACCGTGTCCGTAAATTAAGATGAAAGTTTTGCCACCTTGAAAAAGCCTAGAAGACTGAATCTCGAGATTAGGATATTTATTGGTGAAGATTTTTGTTTTTCACTTTGAATGAAAAAATTGTATTTCTGTTGTAATATTATGTTTAATGTTACAATATAATATTATATAATATCAAATAATGAATATAATATAATATTATATTATGCAATGAATGTAACATTATATAATGTTATATAATGAATATAGTATTATATAATATCATATAATGAATATGATATTATATGATACCATGTAATAAATATAATATTACACAATGAATATTATATTATATGATATTATACA